CCCCCCCCCCCCCCCCCCCCAAATCTCTATGTTCAAGATGGAACTCTAGGTCAGAAAAACGTTCCTTGCAGAACCACAGAACATAATTTGGACAGATTTGAACCTGAAGTTCTGCCATTTTTGTGTCCTTCTGTAATGGATGGTATGAGCAGGGAAGATTCTGGAATGGAAGTTCAAGGTTGTCAGGAGGGAGTAGAGACATTCCAGAGCAAGTGCCTCCTCAGCCCGCAACAAGAGTGTGGGAAGACGAAGAGGATGAGGCTGGCCCCTCCCTAGAGTTTCACGGGGTATATCCACTAGTTGCTTTAGCATAGGTTTAGTCTAGCGAGATTCTGTCTATTAGGTACAAGCTAATAAAGGAACTATATTGTACTGGACTGTCTTGTTGCTGTTCTTGGGCTGGGCCTGACATCAATCTCGCCAGACTCTCCCCCCTCCTGACAACCTTGAACTTCCATTCCAGAATCTTCCCCACTCCTGCCATCCATTACACCTTCTTACTAGCAGGCCTGAGCATTCAACCGGTCTGATAAATGTGAGTGATCAATAAAGATCTTTTTGATGAGAAAAGATGAACTTCACTGGAGGTCCACTGGCACTGGAAAGTTTTTGAAGCTCCAGAGACAAAACAAGGAAGGGAAAATTGCTTTGACAGTTGAAGAGAGGTTTACTATTATCACCTTCAGGCAATTTTCCAGGAAACCTAAGATCTAACTAGCAAATTCAAAGGCAATAACCTCATGTTAACTCTCACATAATATTTGCATATCCTAGACATCCTCCTTCACTATGCCTTGAGCTACAAAAATGGATTAAAACAGTGAACTCCAACATGGCATTCTCCAGATGCATTGAGACTCCAGAAGTATTGAGACTGCAATTCCAAGAATTGCATGGTGCAACCAGAACTCCAACCATTCAGAACATCCCATCACTCTTCAGCCCACTAGAGGTAACACACTAATCAAAGGCCTTTATTAAGTTCAAATTTAGGGTTTTGGCCATGTAGCAACATAGGAAAGATCCACCTAGGTCAGAAATATTCTTTCTATATAAAATGTGCCTCCAGAAAGCCCTTTATGGCTTCCCATAATAAAGGTAAAAATACAATTAATAGATGCAAATCATAATGGCCATTTATTTTCTTTAGCATCAGAGGGAGTTCACTCTTGAATATGTACTGCTTGGGACCTGAACAGGACAGTGCTATTGGCTGTAGGAATAGACTGGATAGGCATTTTTCTGATCCAGTATGGCTGATGATCAAATAAAGAATGAGGCAACCGAGTGAATTATGCAAAGTCCAGCACGTACACTGAAACTTGACAATGTGGCACTCGTAGGTATCATGTCACTCACCTCCCCCATAAGTACTGTCCACGCAACCTTCCCTACATTTAGAGGAATTGAAATATCTCAGATCTCCAAGAATGAAGATGCAAGAGATCATCAATCTTAGAGGACTTTTAAAACTCTTTTTTATTCATACATTTTGCATAGTTCCATTGTGCGGATTCCATGACACACCCGTGCCTAAGAAGTTTCCCTACCCATGACATATGCTGCTTAATTTGACTCCAAAATTGCAGACTGCTAAACTATCTCTTATGGAAATTCAGGCTGGCCAACTCTTCATTTCTCAAGAACTCCATGGCCCATACTGTTACTCAGTAAGATGCCTGGAACATTACCTGCCCAACTCTTTCTACATTGAAGTATTTCCCTTTACGACTGTAGAGCTCAGGTGCCTAGAAAACAAGCAGGGAGGTTGGTAGATAGATTGCATAAAGAGAATTGGGAAGCAATTGTTCATTTTTAAGTCCTGAGAATTCTGCTGATCTTGTATCAGTAATAAATACTTGATGCGAGAATGGGTTTAGTCCCCAGTACTTGTTTAATCAATCAACAAATACAATATATATCACACCATTTCACTGCATTTCAACAATCCTATATAATCATAGGAAACATTTTATAGCCTTAAGGCAGTGTTGTCCAAGCTTGGCCACTTTAAGATGAGTGGACTTCAACTCCCAGAATTCCCCAGCCAGCAGTTGAGTCCACTCATCTTAAAGTGGCCAAGTTTGGACAACATTGCCTTAAGGGAAGTGGCAGAAAGATATGCTTAGCTACATCAAGGTGACCTGAACATGTTCTTTTGAAAAAAGAAACCCTCCCTCTCCCTGGAAGTATCTTCAAGCTGGGCAAATAATTAAGAAAAATAAAATAAAAAAGCTTACTTCATTGAAGTGGTCAGTGAGAAAATCAGCCACAAAAGTGATGTCTTTCTGAGTCATCTTTCAGAAAAATAAAGGCAACAAATCACTACAACCATGAATTTACATTTTATGCATCAACACAAAAGGCAGCACAACTGAAATCAACAGCTGTCACAATTCTGCAAACCAACAAACTGCCAGAATGACATTTTTAAATGCCTTGGACAGAAAATACAAAGCAGTAATGCGATAATATTTTGAAAGGGAGGCATAAGAAAACAAAATTAAGCTAATCCTTTCAATTGCTTTTCTACTAAACAAAGCATATGCTTAAGAGGACCAACAAAGAATGAGGAAAACACAGAATCATTTTCTAAGAATAGTTTGTCTGGCAGCACTGGCAGCTTTTAAATAATATTTACATTTTTCATTTGTGAAGGAATTGTGCACAGTGTGAGTGAATGAACCATCAGGAACTGAATTCAGCTGAACAGTGAACTGGTTGCACAAGAGAGATACTCTAATACTTTAAGGTGGTTTGTATGGTCTTGTTGACATCTAGGCTGTGAATGTCCAACACAAGATTGCAAAGATGCTTTTGGAAATTGAATGCTGTGCTAAATACACTCTGGACTGATCACACAATGGGGTCTTGCCTTTCTTAATCCAGCTACCCCAACCCTCTCCTCCAAACTTGGAACTCAATCTTCCAGCAATCAGCTTCTTGCTACAGGCTGGGGAAATACAGCAATGAATCCAGATGACTAAGGAACATTGGAAAGCTCTCACGCTCCAAAACATGGAGCTACCCACCATGAACAGTAGTTTGTCAAGTACTTGCCAACTTCTGCCTGATTTTAAAGTTCTAGGGAGGTCGAAAAAATCAGAAGTCTAGCAGGTAGGCATATGAGGCTTGGAGAGTCATGTGCAAAGCTGGCCTAGGTGGTGGTCAGAAAGGGCAAAGAACACAGAGAAGTCAAGTCTTCTACAACACATTAAAATGAGCAATATTCCATTCACCCCTACAGTCTCCAATTGTTTCAGCACTTGTGTCCAGAAATAAAGCTCTGAAAACCATCAGAGGCAGAATGTTTGTCATCTAGAGAAGGAATATATCAATTGTAATGTGTTTTCTTTATTTCATTAAATGGGTAGGAGGATTGAGGGCCCTCATTAAATGTGCCATGCAAGAATATTCCAGGGTCTTGCTACTTGTGACTTAAAAAAAAAAAAAGGAACAGTGTGAACCGGGAGTATACAATGTCAAGAACCTTTCTGATCACAAATATTAGGTTTAAGATTGATTTGGTGGATCAGAAATACAACAGGCATCTCATCTATGTGCATAACTGGCTACATGATTATTACCTTGTTCAGTTCGGGAGGAACATGATCTTCTGACATTCGTAGCATGGCTGAAAAATAAAACAATGCAATTCTGCAGGACAGAATTCATATCGGCTTTCTTTATCCTAATTTCCTCACTCTTCACACAAAATAGAAAGGCAGCAATGATGAGGTAAGAAAGTTTTGCCTTTCCAAAGCAACAGCTGAAAGAAAGGATTATGGTTATGATTATTAACCAGTATTGACATACAGGGAATGTCCTGGGCTCTTGCAGTCTTCCCCAAGTCTCAAAAAAAAGGGGGGGGGATTATATACAAGAGCTAGGAATGTATACATTGCACTATTTCAAGAACAAAATAAATACTCTGAGGAAGGCTAGAAAGTTCCAGAGAACTTTGCAAAGATTCGGGGAATAGAAAGTTCCATTTTTCCTCCAAACTATGCCAAGCTAGCTGTTCTTGGCATGATCCATTGCTCTTCTGGAAACAAATCTTCCAACATAGTTCACTCAATCCTGTTCCTGTTGCCAGTAGGTGCTGATTTTCCTAGCCCCAAAACAATGAACCACTTCCATGAGAACGTGCAAAACCTAAGAGCTGGATCATCCTTTGAAAGACTGAATGATTAGCTTTAAACTGCAAGTTTATCATTTTGAGGGGGGCAGAGGGGAAGAACCTGAGGGCTTGGTGACTGACTGAAGGGGAAGCTATAAATGCCCTTGTGTACATCTCCGCCTTCTTGTTGGCACAATCCCACCTCTAACTCTGCTTCTTTAGAGTCCCACCAAAGAGACAGAAGGCTGGAAAAGGAGTGTTTTGCATTAACACCATCTTTCTTACCTACGTAAAGCCAACGGAAAAAAGCTTTGAAATTTTTCATGCTGCTGTCTATAACTCTGGGAAAAGAGAGAGAGAACAGAAATGATTCTCTTAAGTGGCATTCCTCAAGGGCCATCTTGCTTTCGGAATTTATCTTTATCATTCATTTATTTGTTAGATGGACAACCTGTCTTTCATACATAGGAGGCATGTGTAACACTTCCTCCTTTTGTTTTTCCTCACAACAATCCTGTGAGATAGTTGGTCTAAGACAGCTTCACGGTGCTTGGGGTCAAAACATGAAAAGCTGCTTTGGAGCCCACACATAGCATCCTCCGATCAATGGATTCACGTTTCGTGAAGTTTTGAGTTCGAACTGTTTCAGAATGAAACATTCTGCCTAGCCGTGTTACCCCCTATGATAGATAGTGGGGGCAGAATGGCTGAGCTAAAAACACCACACGAAGCGGTTCTGTGCATTTTACCGGGCAAGCTATCCAGTAGGGAGTAAAGCAAGATGGCTAAAGGAAATTGATCTTCAGATCCCTGGAAGCCCAAACTGTATTTTAGACTGCAGGCTGGAATACTTAAATAACAGAAGTATCAGAATGAAGGGCTTTGTGCATAATTTCAATTACTTACTGGAGAAGTTCATTTGCTTTCAGAATGAAGGAACCCACTGCAGTAATTGCTTCTGTAAATAAAGAGTAAATATGATTTAAGGCCACCGGAATGTGCTGTCAACATCTAGCCGTTAAGAATAGAAGGACTTCGTGCCATACCTTCTATTCCTGATGCATCCAATCCAAGAGACTCATATTTCTGTTTCCACAAAGCCATGCCTTTCAGCTCACTTAAATGGTACAGCAAGGCCTCAGAACCACTACCAAAGCAACATTAGTTTCATTAGAATGGTTGAACGAAAGATCTGTCAGGGTACCGAAAGCAAGCCATAAAGATAGAAAAGGAAAGAACAAAACGTTGTGGGTTTTTTCCCCCCTGGACTTTGTCTGACAGACTGATGAAACAAATCAAGATGGAAATAGCTTTATGTGGTTTCCACTTCACTTTGCTACCGTTAATTTGACTTTGCTGTGTTACTGAGCCCTCTATTCTGATGGAGTGCAATTTTTGAAACAAATCGTTATTCATAGATTCAGCCTGATCAAGGAGTTCCTTGGTCCAGCTGGAAAGTTCAATAACTTTTTTTCCTGTTTAGCAGAATAAAGTGAGGTAGAGAGGGACATGTTTTAAGTGGCTTTGGGGTTTAGAGCTATAATTGAGAAAAGAGTAATAATAATATTTGGGACGCGGTGGTGCAGGGCTTAATGATGCTGGAGTTTGCCGGTCAGAAATGGTCGGCACTCCAGCAGTTCGGGCCCGGCTCCGTGGGACGGGGTGAGCTCCCGTCACTCGTCCCAGCTCCTGCCCACCCAGCAGTTCGAAAGCAATTCCATCTGCGAGTAGATAAATGGGGACTCCCATCTCGGTGGGAGGAACCGGCGGTGCTGCGCAAGGAGCAACATACCGGGGCTGGATCGGACTCTGAATGCAACCGTCGCAAGTGATGATCGACGCGAGTGGCGAGGGAAGATCTTTGGAGGAGGAAACAGCCCGGATGTGCTGTGACTCCCTAGCGACCACTGCTGGTCACATAGTGTAATATATCACTGTAGTTATTGTAAAGGATTGTTAGTCACTGTTAAGAATTTGTATACTTTGTGAGCTGCCCAGAGTTCCCCATTGGGGGAGATGGGCGGAGAATAAATCGAATGTATTATAATAATAATATTCAGAACTCTCCAAGTTAAGAAACCTTGCAAACATATCTAAGTCAATGCACATCCTGAATTTTACCTCTGCAAGTGACTTATCACAAGCTTTTGAATACTGGAGTAGGAGGACTCCATAGACTGGCCAAGTTTTTTTAAACCCTGTGGGGGGAAAAAAAAACATCTTTGTCAGGCTAGATGAACCAACACAAAGAACAAGAATTTCAACTTCTCTGCTGGCCTACCTTTACTGTTAGCTGGTTCATTAGCAGTGCTTGAAGTTCAATACTATTTGGAGAAGGAAAAAAAAACACAACTTCATTATTCCAACTTCATTATTCCAATAATTCCCCCCAGATCACATTTGGGGAAAGACAGGATCTTGTTATAATACTTACCTCGCTTTGCCCCACAAAAGTAACTGCATGAATTCATCTTGCACGGAAGTGGTTGTATTCTTCTCCTAAAAAATGGAGATTGTTTTACGTACCAAGCCTCTTATTGAGTAACTGCAAAAGAGGACCTAGGATGGTGGTTCTGCACAGGAGGCAGTTCTCAAGGATTACAGGCAGAAAGAGCAGATTCAGCCCCATCTAAACATTATCTCTGATTTTATTCGTTCTCTTTATTCCATATGAAGTTTCCATTATAATCCCCAGCTGATGGTGGTTGATGGAGACACAATTGGAACTTGGATGGAGATCAACAGGAAATCTCAATCTAGTCAGCTAGATTGGCAAGTTCAAAAGAATTCTGGAAGATGGCATGGACATGTAGCCACTGGGAATCAAGCTCAACTCAGGGGAGCTCATCTTTACTGATCTGATAATTAGATTTATATCCTACCTTCCATTCAGGGGTTGAGGATGACATGCATGGGGATCCCCTCTATTTTTCCCCACCACAACAACCCTGGGAAGTACATAGGGCTGGAAAAGAGTGACTAACCCCAACTCACCCAATAACCTTCTGTTGTTGGAAGGTCTCCCTCATCCTAGTTCAGTATCTTAATTATTAGAGACACTGCTTTTGGAGTACTACACCCAAGAACTTATAATAATGTAGCAGAAGCCTATTTATATCTTGGGCCTTCCTTCTTTCCCACTCCAACCCCCAATCTGTTCTGAAGGGTATGCAAGATGGTCCTTCCTAACAGGGATCCTGCAGGAAAGCAATGCCTGGCAGGGCAAAACAATGATACCAGAGGCACCTGTAGCCACCCACTTATCGAACCTAACACATAATGCGATAATTTATGAAATGTATTAATGATAACAATAATAATAATCATGGGCAACTGGCAGAGTTCAAGCTTGCAGGATTTACCTAGTTTTGGTTCTTTATTAGAACCCTAAGGTCCACCAACTGAATGATAAAGGGTGGGATTGGAAACAAAAATAGGCAAAATTCAGGAACAGGGTTTTTTGGCATAGATGCTGAGCTCAATAACGTATTTGAAAAATAATTTATCTTTTCCTCCCTGCCACCTAACTTTGTTCCTGCAATGGCAAACAAGTCACAGGCCTACGCCTCAGCCAAAGATTTGAGTGACTTTGCACAGAGAATGTTGCAGATTCAAGTTCTTGCATCTTCATACTCAGGAGACCCGTCATGAGTCGATGGCAACTGTACCTTTTACACACACACACACACACACACACACACACAAATGTACTAGGTAATGCAGCATTAAATAATACTTGGAAAGAGAATCATTTTCACAATACCTGCACAAACTTAGTTAATCGCGAATCCATCTGCATCAATATTTCTTCCCAAGCTTCACACATACAAGTCAGTGAAAGCTTTATATACTGTTTACAAAAAGAGAAAGGCATCAATATTATGGGGAAAGCATGAATTGTTCATTCCCTTATAATCACATTCTATCTAGCTTGACATACAGTTTTCAGACCTAAAACAACCAGCAAACATAGCTTTAACAAGCTAAAACAATTACAAATTAAAATAAGCCACCTGCCAAGACCAGCATTATCATATCAAAATAATCATGATATCTCCATAGTGGATTACATTAAGAAATATTAAATCCCCCCATTACATTGCTTACTTGAAAATAAAGCCTATTATTTAGTGACATTTACTGCCAAACAAGGTGCTAGGATTTCAAGCCTGTATTACGAAAAAAAGGAATCATTTGTTTCTGGAAGAGTTAACTAAAATGACTTTAATGAAGTACAAATGCATGGATTTTTAGCATTGCCTACTCTATGGAGTATCTTGTGGCTGGTACAATATGAAAAAGAGGAGATTTTAATACTGTACCTGCAGGAGAGTTGAAATGTGTGTAAATTTTCGGGCCATTCGAGTCACTTCTGGTAAATAGGTTGAGAGCAGACTGGTATCCATCTAAAACAGAGAACCAATTTCTGATCAGAGAATATTACATGTATTCTACTAAGAGCAGAACTTACTACAGGACAGATAATCTGCAGCAAGGGTAAGGAAATGGGTACTCAGAGGTATCTGAGCACCTTCAGAGACCTCCTGTGACGCCCACCTGGCTTCCTGTATTCATTTATTTATACCTTGGGGCTAGCACAAAATTGCTGGTGTGGCAGAGAGTAGGATCACCTTTAGGTAAATGTTTTTGTGATCATTTCTCCTCAATGTGACAGCCACTTTATAAACAGGCAAACTGTTCTCATGGTTACTGAGAACACACCAATAACTCAACTAGTGAAAGGAGGTCATACTCTTAGTTGATGTGTTATGGGACATGTAGTTGATGTATCATGGGTATCTGTTGGAAGCATGGTGGGACCTAGGACACTGTAAAGGAATGTAAGCTTGGAAGGTATGAAAGAGCCATTAAAAGGGGGAGAAAGGAGTGAGCCATTAAGGGGGGACTTAGAGAAAAGATTACACAGTCCAGAGATTGAAGGAAGGGTCAGAAAGAAATACATCTCATCTTGATTTTGTTTGACTTTCAAGGATCTATTATTCTACTTTACTACGATACAGAGCAGGGTTCTCCAAAGTGGTCAGTATCGACCTCCCAAGGGTGGATGGGACTATCCATTATTGTTGTTGTTGCTGTTGTTATTATTTGTAGCACTATTAAAGTAGTATTAAATTATTTTTATATAATAAATATTTGGGGGTCAATGAAAAATCTGAAACTTCATGAAGGGGTCGATGAGCTGAAGCGTTTGGGGACCCTGATATGGAGGATTCCTGGAATTCCTGCTATGCCTGTTTCTTGACCTGGCCTATCTTGAAGAGCTGACAGACTTCATCCAATGAACTGGGGTGTGGGGTTCTCATCACCATGAAGAGATCACTATGCAGGTACATTCAGACATCTTAATATGACACGGATTAGGGATTACTGGAAGTGTGGCCATCTAAAGAAGTAAGACCTGGAACCCATATATTCTTGGAATAGTTAACAATTTCATTCAAAACATTTCATTCTCATTAATTCTTCTTCACGCTGGTCTGGTGCAAAATGGCACTGATATCAATTTTAATGCAAGCTTTCCTTTAGTGTTATTAGACTGGGATTCAAATCAATCCAATGAAGTCAAGAAATAAGTTGTCAGCAAAGGGCAAAAATATTCAAGATTGGAGAAGATGTTCTCTCAGGGCTCAAGAAGTTAAAGCTTCTTAGTTTTAAGCGTGAACACAATTCATATTTATAAAATAGTGGAATAAAGGCTGAATGAGTTTTCCTCATAATACTAGAGATTGGGATCATTAAAAGAAATTGACAAAGAAATTTGGGATACATTGCATTTCACTTGACATTTTGATAACTGCAAGTTAAACTGCTATAAAAGGGATAGATCATGTTATATCAATAACTACTACCAATTCTGGCTAAAGGGAACTTTTGGGTTAAAAAAGAATGTATCTGCTTGATTGGTTGATTGACTGATTTCCAGGGCTTATAGACTTTTCCAGTCACAACTGATTCTAAGCAGAGAACCATTCCTTCTCCATAACTTGATTTAAAAACACACAAAAATAAAGCATTCAAACACTAATTCATAAACTAAGGCAAATAAGGAAGATAACCTTGACAGAGATATGCAAGATCTGTTACCAAAACAAGAAAGGGTGAAACACATCTTAAGTCCACAAAAGACATAAAGTATGCAGCAAAGGCTCAGATGGACATCTCCCTAATTCGCATGAATATAAGAGGGGGAGGAAGTAAAGCACAATCAGCCTTGCAAGATTCTGCTACTATGGCCAATATTTTTACGGATGGATGGATGGATGGATGGATGGATGGATGGATGGATGGAGTTCTGGCCTTCCTGTGGGGTTGATTTCTTAGTTTGGTCTACATAGTGGAGCTGACCAAAAAAAAAAAAAAAAACCCAACCCAGTAGACATTTAGTTTTTAAACATAACTAAAATGGGAGAAAAGTAGGCAAAATAGTTATGTCCAGCCAGTAAATTGGGAGACTGGGAGAAAAGTAGGCAAAATAGTTATGTCCTGCCGGTGAATTTCCAGAAGACGTTGGCTGAATATATTCAAAAGTAGTGTGTGATGGTCTTATCCAAGAAAGTTAAGACAGTTACTTAGAAAGGTTCTAACACACTGTAGAAGAAAATAGCACGGAGCAGTAACTGAATGACCATTATTGCCAAAACACTTTGCCACTCTACTCACTTGGAAGTATGTTATTTCTGGATCGGTGTCTGGAGAAACATCTACTTCTGTAACAACTGAAAGCGATTTCAAGTCACTCGATAAGCACAATGCTAGGCACGAACCTGTCACCTGGAAGAATTGGATGGCAAAGTTATAAACTAAATTTTCTTAGTATTTAAAAACAGTTCACATTGCAAGTTGTTGAACTCTTTGTTTCTCTTGATATCAAGCAATTACAGATCTGTGGTTGTTTATTCCAAAGGAAGTCCTGCTGTGTTCAAGAGAAGTAGGTTTGTTACAATCTCTTTAAAACATGGTGAATTTACATCTCATTAAAACTCACATTATATTCGCTCTAAATATTTGCTGTAAGGAACCCTGTATTAGTTGAATAATACAATTATTTTCAGGGCTTTTTTTAAGTTAGGGTTGCCATGTGTTCTTTGGGGTTTAGGATTAGAATGACTGAACCCATTTATATTAAAAACTAAACATGTAGTTTTATCCAATACAGTAAAGAGGTAAATAAGCTGCTTTCCAGCTGGATCTAAAACTGTGACATGGGAAGGGGAAAAAATGCACAGAGCACGGGGCCAACTTTCAATAATTTAACGGAAAATTGTCAAGAACCCACACTCAACATTTTCAGATGGGAAGGGAATAAGTAGGAAACTATTTTGAAGATCTAAAAAAAAAATCCAGCTGCAAAGCGAACCTTGTAAGGGGAAAACATTTTTACTCATCCCCAGCTGAACAACTATGATAATGAAAGAAACCACATACCCCTGTTATTGTTGCAATCTTGTACATTCCGTAAGCATAGATCTCAATAAACCCATTAATGCCTCCGAGAACCAGAGCATTAAGCCTACATAGAAATGTTTTTAAAAAGAGATAGAAAGAAAGAGAAGGAGATAGAGAAAGAAGGTAATCATACGTGCGGTAAGATTAGAAAACAGATCTGTGTTAGCCATTGCTCTGGCATGTGTATATACAGGAGGAAGGAGGAGCTCCTGGCCAAACCATTGTTGCCCAACTAGAGTTCGCAACAATGCCAGCTAGCATAGTCAGTGGGGAGAGACTTTAGCTGAGCAACAACTGGAGGGCCACCCCACATTATCCATACTGGATATAAAGTATTTATCTAACTACCTTTCACCAGACTTGGCATCCAAGTAGTTTACAAACAAAAGCAAGCCGTGGATCCATAAAGCAGTAATATTAAAGCAATTATTATTACTAAGGCATGCATGACATATCTTCCTAAAGCCTGGAAGAATTTTAAGAAATTGCTTGATGCCCCCAAAATCTAGCAAGCTACCTTTAGCGACAGCATTTTACTTAAGGTCACACCTGAAAAGGCCTCTTTGGCTGATTGTGAGAAGTTACATAGGTTTGGCCTGGTTAGTCCATGGATGAGAGACCACCAAAAATCCTAGAGCCATAGGCTAGATTTGGGAAGTTGAAAAACGTCCATATTGTTGCTGAGAAAATGACATGGAGGTGTCTATGATGTCGCCAAGAGATATGCTCAACTCAAATCTACCATGAATTTTCTAGACAGAACCAGGCCAAACAATTTGGAAGACCAAGATCAACAGCCTTAGAACTCAATTCCCAGCTGCAATAAAAAAAACTCTTTTTAAAGGAAAAAAGGGATTAGTATCTGCCTTGCAGATAATAATGATAGGGAAAAAAACTCAAAGGTGGCATATTTTTGATAGGACAAGTATCCCTTGGGATCATTCACATTCCCACCACAAAGGACAGAAGAATACCTACAGATTTGAAAAGCAACAGTTTCTACTAATCCCCCTAAATCTTCCTGTTGAAAATGCCCAATGGTATTTAATTCAACAGTTATTTTTGAAACATGTCATGTCATTTTAGATGAATCAAACAAGTTGGTGTTGGCAGTGTCCCTTTTCAACATGTTTGCTTGGAGTGCAACTGATGAAACATTACTACAGTCATTGTAATCATTGTCTCCCTTTTAACAATGGCTTGACATTTCAATAAGTTTGAATATCAGTTGCAAAACCTGCTTACAGGATACTCCCAGTGTTTGTTACCCCGTTTCTGAATCTGGAAGATTTGGACCATTTAGATAACATTCTGATTCTGAGAGTAGTTCCAGCCTTAATGGAAGCATTCTGACATTGTTCAAAACGGACCATATGACCTCGGTTTCACATTTGGTCTGTTTCAAGGTCATAACCTTCTGGGGTGATCAGGACACATACTTTCAGTAAAGCTGGAGTGTTTCAGCCTCGATATGTGCTACCTATCTTTATTTAAGAGCTATTGATGAAGTTCTCCTTACAGATTTGTCTAACCTGGTTTCAAAGACATTTAAAACAATGTCTATCAACTTCTATATTTATTATGTGTTGCGTGGTTGAGGACTTTGCAAAATCCATGAGATAATCAGTAGATGAATGATGGAAAGGCCTCATTTAAATAGGACTGCTTTCATCATCCACTACAGAAATCCAACAAAAGCAGGACTGGTATCTTTCTTAATATTGCAGCTCCGCCAACATAAAGTTATCTTCAGTGATCAAGTAAACTGCTTTTGCTAATCCAGTACAAGTTGTATTGGAACTACAGGTCCCAGAATTCCTACCCAACCTAGCTTTCTAGTCCAAACCCAAAAGGTGGACATCCTACTGAAAGAGGATTGAAAGCAAGTTTTATTGGCTTCCTGAGCAAAACTTGCTGGGTTTCTTATTCGACACCCACAATCAGAACCCTATTTTTCCTTTTGGAAGTAAGTAAAAAAGGAGTTACCTGACATCACCCATGAGTTTCATAATCTCATCGGATTTTTCTTCACTAAAATATAATAGTCAAGATCAGTTAAAAGAAGCATGTATATATAAACACTTGTTCTCAAAATTCTCAAGAATAAACAAACAGAAAATGAAGTTTTACCTGAAGATTTTTGCTGTGGTACTGTAGCTATATTTTTAAAAAAAGAAAAGGGAAGCAGATTCAGAGAACTATGCAGACGGTTACCTAACTAAACAAGGGATAGATGGACAAATGGATGGATAGATAGATAAAAAAATCTCCATGTTCCCTGCAGCTCTTAGAACACAACATATAAATGGCATTATAGTTTATTAGTTAGGAATGTTCCAAACTTGTCAATTCTATTCCTGCTCTGGACTAGGCCAAAACTTCTCCTGGACTTTTCATTCCAAGACAATTTGGAGGTTTCCAAAAGTGAATCTTCCAAACTTGACCAGAAATCACGAAACTGCCTCCAGAATGGTGTGGTCCAAAAAGAGCTTTGACATCATTGTACCGGTGAAATCATCATGGTTTTTAGCAGATGCCTCAGTTCCTCAAGACTGTTGCTAAGGCTTAAGCACTGTTTAGCTCAATGGGGCTTACTTTAAAGCATGCACACTTCTCTGGGAGTAAACCCATTCTACTCAACAGGCTTATTTCTGAGTAGTCTTACGTAGGACATAATCTAAAAAGAACATCTGAAATCATAAAATAGCTGACAATCAAGCCACCAATTTAGTCACATGTTCAACGTCAGAAACTGCCCTCAGTTATAAAAATTATCAAAGGCTTGTGAAGATCAGCAGGCCAGGCTCCGAATGCATTTCCTGTCAGCCTTCCCAGTAGACCAGGCAGGAAACACAACCAGATGAGCTAATTCTACTTCACTGCAAGGCTACATTAGCAGAAGCTTGCAAGTCTGAAAGTTCAAATCTCCCGCCATTCCTTTTTACAGCCTGATAAGTTAGGGAGGATCCTTTCTGAGCCTCTGTCTCCACCCATTATGCAGCTGCAGGCTATGCCCTCTCTTATCTGAACATCCCTAAGCAGCATCTCTTCCCCCCCACCCTGATTCCCCAAGTCATTCCCACATTACACTTCCACAACCTTGTTGTTCCCTCCTGACAACACACTTACTTCTTTGGCAGGGCAGGCAACTTAGGGAGAAGAAGACTGGATTCATCTTCAGCGTTATAAAACGAAGTGAGGACACTGAAATGAAAGAATGATTCTTGGATTTAGATCCTGGAAGATCTGGTAAAAATAAAACTACATTTCAGAGCCGCCTTCTTCTCTTTCTAGGTGCATTAAGGTTACAAGTCCCAGAACGACCACCTTGGAGGGTTGCTTTCAAACCAATTAACAGAAACTCAGATCTAAATTATTACTTGTATTTTAACTGTTCAGTTTTTGCTCTAACTAGTTATGTTTGATCAATTCCCTTACAATCTACATTTTAGGTGCGTTAATCAAAAGTAGACAATATAGAAACTGGAGCAGTAGGGACAACAGACATATCCCTAAATTGTGGGTTAGTGACCCTATTGCATAGATGGGGGTCCAAATATTTGCAAGCCACTCCACTGAAGTCTAACTGTTATATTTGGGGTTTTCTTTTAAATACGGGAAGGGTTGGAGAACCTTTGGAAGAACACAGCTGGAAAACAACAAGGCTTTTTCCAATAGTCTGGAAGGGATCAAAAACTGTCAGAAGGCCTCAGTTTTAACAATTCTTGTAAAAGCACATTTTACAAAAGTGTTCCTCCTTGGTCCGCTGGACAAAATCACATAGGCTACCAGATAGAGTGGACAAACCTTCAACTTCATCTTACCTGCTTTCTTCCGTAACTTCCATCCAGTACATGTAAGTGAGAGGAGCACTGACTGAGAAAGAATGCAAACTCTCTGGTTTCTCCACATCACACAGAATAACTTTCTTAGTATCAGCAAGTCCAAAAGCCAGAACTACAAAGGCAATGGGGAAAGATTAAGACGTTCAGTGCATAGAAAGCAGTTCCTTTAACATCTGGGATCCATCAGGACTACAAACCAGAGGTATGGAGAAAAGAGGAGAAGAAAGGAAGTTTCATTTGGTAATAAAGCACATGGAAGATTTTGGCTGATATCCTTTTTAGAGAGAAAGAGTTTGTGGATGATCTTCTCTTCATAAACGCTATGGCTAAAGTCTTAATCGTTCATAATCAACTTTTAACAAATACCCCACACTCCACACACCAGAACTAGACTACCAGAAATATGATCCAGTAAGGAAGAAGATAACATCAGCGTAAGAAATTCTAAACTTTTCCCTTTGGTGTGATAGCAGTATGATATTTATCTCCACTGAGAAAAAATTAGGACACTCTCACCCAAATAAACCTAGCACATGCATATATGCACGCACATCTACAAATACATCACAAATACACATTTCTTGGAGGTGGGAAATTTCCAAAAACAATTTCAGCTGGGGGTGGCAAAGCTTGTTTGACAAAATGGAAAACTTTGGCATGACACAGGATACTTTTCCTGTATGCATAATGTTTTCCTGTCTATTCTACTTTTGGGGTGGGGAATTCTCTCAAAGCATCTTGCTTTGGGGAAAATTCAATCATTTCAAACTTTAATCCTTAATGTAAAGTTTTATTTGTCACCCATTACTTTTGCCATCTGGTCTCCAGGCAAGAGCAGAGACTTCTTTCCCCGTGCTTTCATTTGGCGGCAAACTCCAGACCCGCTGAAAGTTTGCCAGGCGGTGAAGTAACACCTAGAAAGAGATGGAGAAATTAAGCCAGGTCCATCTTTAGAAGAAAGGTGAACTCTTCTAAAAGGGAGAAGAGAGAATTCTTTTGCTTAACATACTCAGCTGAAATCAGGGTCACAGTTTTAAAACTCTATATATTTTAACTGGCAACTATCAAACTTTGCCCATTAAGATCACATATCTTTGAAATATCTATATCTATCTATATTCTGTAGATGTCTTGTGATACGCACATAAGGATCCATGTTTTGGCAAGGGAGGGCAGCAAATTAAAAGATTCAGGGAGAGAATGAAGATTTCTACACTAGGTATAGGGCTGGATCACATGATCTCCAAATCACTTCCAACGCTTATGTTCTATGATCCTAAGGAACAATTTTTCTTATGTTTTTCCACTGACTGACACACCTCTGAGTACAAAATAATAGGCACTATCTCCTAGTATATAATGTTAAATCGTTTCCTATTGGCAACATTCTTTTTTCTTTTTAAAAGACCTATGCTAATGAATTTATGGACCTACAATGCATTGAAAAGCAATGTATTTATTTATTTAGGCACACATATGCACCCACGGGACACCCACTCTACTTAACCTAACCATTGGATCTGGAGCTCTTCATTATACCACCCAGAGACTCACACTTGAGGCAGGATACAAATGTGATAAAATCCATCCATCCATGCCTCCACAAACAGAAGACAAATACCCAACGGCCCAATTTAGAATATGCATTTATTGGAGATCAACCAGACAGAAAGATCTAGATAGAATTTATATGACTCTAATCAATGTTATCATTTATATGACTCTAATCAATTTTATCATTGTGAACGGTCTTAAAATATTTTTTACAAGGAGTGGGTAGATATTGCAAAAGGTCTTTAGTGACAGAAAATGGTTGGGGGGGAAGGGAAGGGGAAATAACAATTTCCAAACATACTTCCTACTCCACCTAAACATGCAAATGCAAAACTGAATACAACTGCAAATCTTAGACAGGTTGTATTCCAGTTCTAACCTTTGTCTCCTGACCAACGGACCTCTGTCTTGCCTGGATTAAATTTCCATTTATAGGCCCTTATTAATTCTCCAGACAAGAACTGAGGGGATCCGCAGCTCCCTTGCATGTCAGCCATACAACTAGAGAAAACGCTTCCCAAATCTGCAACCGTCTGCCCCAGCTGTTTTGCAAGGATGGTCAATAATAGAGCTTCAGATTTGAAAGCAAAAAAGGGCCGGGGTTAGAGGGGTCCACCGCCCTTTAAAGCAGCTATGTCTTTTTCCAGGATGATGCAGCTGCACTGCAATTGGAGGAAAAGGCATGTTTGATTTCAAGGATGGCAAACATGTGTTAGGTGCATGTGCCTTCGAAAACCAAAGAATGCTAGCAGAGCCCTAGCAGACCCATGGGGGGCGAGCCATAACCTTGAGGAACACTGTACTATTGGCCACAAGCTTGAAGGTAGAGGAAGGGCTGGCAACATCATAAAAAAAAAAACATCCCTGCCAGGCAGTGCAGGGTGATACTGTGATCAAGGGAGTGTCAGCCCTTCGAAGTAGACCAGACTAGGAAACCAAAGTTATAAATGTTAATAGTACATTTATTATAAGGTTATAGTAACAGAATTTTGCAAGTCTGGATATGCCTCCTCTCTCCCTCCCTGTATCTACAAGAGAACTAGGGAGGGTCAAGTCTGAGACACCTTCTCAAATTTCTGTCTCAGACTCAAATCTCTTTTTTGGACTCAAATCTCTTTTGTCTGACTGTTGTCTTGGTTGCAGCTCTTCCTCCTGTTCCTCAAGGCTATTCTAACTTCCCATTACAGGGAGAGATCTCTAGCGGAATCCCCAGCCTTGCCTGGATTCCAGTGGAGATCACCTGCCAGGGCAAGCAAATCTGAAGTGGGACTACATGATCTCTTTCATCCAAGAACCACTGGAACCAGGTAAGAACGAACAATCTAGATCAGTGTTTCTCAACCTTGCAACTTTAAGCTGTGTGGACTTCAAATCCCAGAATTC